TTCTAAAATTTGTTTAAAAATTCCTCTTCGCTCTTTTGCATTTCAGCACTCTATTGTATACTTCAATATTATACTATATAGAAGTTTGTTAAACTTCTGAGGAAATTTCATTTTTAGAAAGTGTATTTTTAAATATATAATATATATATATATATATATATATATATATATATATATATTATATATATATTATATATATATATATATATATATATATATATATATATATATATATATATATATATATATATATATATATATATATATATATATTATATATAACATATATATATATATATATATATATATATTATATATAACATATATATATATATATATATATATATATATATTATATATATAACATATATATATATATATATATATATATATATATATATATATATATATATATATATATATATATATATATATATATATATATATATATATATATATATATATATATATATATATATATATAAACATATATAAACATTTTTTCCTTAATTTTGTTTTGAATTAAATTTAAAAAATTTAACATTTGAAAACGACATAGGTCCTGGATACTGCAAACATTATCTTTTCACAACTGAAATAAACGGTATTTCAGTTGTGAAAAGATAATGTCTGTAGTTGTTTTATTGTTAAGAAGACGAAGGAACAAGTTTAATTTATTTTATTGAATACTTTTTGAAATTTCCTGGATTTTAAATAATAATTTTGGATAGTTCTTACTGTGTTTCGAAATATTTAAAAGCGATTTTAGTGCACTACTTCCAATTATATCTAGCTTTTTCATCAAAGCAGAATTATTTTCACATAGTTTCATACCATAAGTTAAGGTTGGGACTGCTAATAATTTATATATATATGAAATAGTACTTAAGTGGGCAAACTGGATTTCAGATTGAATAAGAGTTTGAACAACAGCTCTATAAGTTTATAATTATTTCATCATAATTTGTATAACTGAGTGAAGAAAAAAGTGAATGTTTAGTATCCCATGTGAATCCCAGTTGTCTAAGTTAATTCTGAAGATTTTTTTTATTACTAGAAATTGTTATCGTATTGGTTTGTATTTGTGCTTTACCTGAAATCAAGAACTCGTTTTTTCGGCATTTATTTAAATACAATATAAATTAATGTAAATATTGCATGCTTTTGTCAGCTTTTGAAACCAGAGAAGGGTAGAGCTTAAAAAGTATGATATCATATACATATGTAGATGATACCACACCAGTAATGTTACCGTATACAAATGTGCCGACAATATCTTAATTTTTAATAGTTTCAAGATGACATTCATTGTAAATCTTATAGAGATGAGGTAAAAGAATCTATTCTTATCTTACTCCTTGCTTTAGAAGAAAAAGTTTGATTTACAACCTTGATATGAGGCTGTTACACTACTATTGTTATATAACGAAGAGATAATGTTAACTATAAAGAGTGGTAATTTTTTATCAAAATATTAAAAAAAAACAATTTTATCAAATTGTATTTTTTGTATGATTTAACAAGGGGTACAATAATTGACGTCGACATTGATATTGGTGTCTATACATAGTTAATGGAGTAATTAAAAAGTTTAATGAGCCATTTTGTTAAAGTATCACAATTTGCGTATTTTAAATGTTCTGCTGAGATAACGAAAGAGTCAGGAGATTTTTTTAATTTTAGGTTCGAAATAGATATAATTATATTTTCTTCAGTTATTGTAACATCATTATGTTTTGTACACGGGGGAATTCTCCGATGATTTTCATTACAATGTGATATTCTTGAAGTATTCAGTACTCTTTCGAAATGGTTTGCGAATTCTGAAGTAATGGGTTCTTTGCCTTTTTTATTATTTATGGTAAATAATCTAGAATTTATGTCTTTGTTTAAACATCTAAGAGAATTCCAAAGTTTTTTGGCCTAATATTTCTGATTTTTTAATTTTAACACACTGTGCGCCTTACCATTTGGTAAGGATTGAAAATTACAGAGTTTAAATCTTTCAAAAAACCAGAACCTCTCAATTTGTTTAAATGAATTAAAAAAGTAGTTTTAGAGCAACTTAGTTCAGGTGTCCATGAAGTTTTCATTAAAAGCTATTTGAGCGCTGCCAACAATTATTTTATAGATTTGAACAAGGTATCATAATTATCATTAAAACTAAGATTGTTAAAGCTAACATGGTTAAATGATCACTATAAATAAATTTATAAAGTTAGAATCGTTTCAAGTGTAGCAAAGAATATTAGTATCTTCTGCTATTTCAATGGTACTGTATTTAGTGTACTTGCCTCTAACTTTAAATTATATTGATAGTGGTAGGCAATCGCTCAAATTATTTGAGAAATCAGGATGATCAATGCATTTAAGACTCAGTAAATTTGTATATTTCGGTATGGCGACGTGATCAATATATAAAAAAACTGATTGTGTCTGGTGTCATTATGCATAAGAAGTGTCAGAACCTTTAGTTACATCTTTTAGTCCTAATTGATTTGTTTTTAAAAGTTCATATTTTTAGTATAATTATTACACAGATAATTAGTAATAGTAATAGTAATACAAACTGCTGTAACGACGATTGTCGCAGAGCATAAAGTTAAAAATTTATAATTTAACAGCCATTAACAAATGTTTATCTAGTCTAGCTTTAAAATAATTTACTGTCATTGCAGAAACCACTTTTTTAGGTAAAGCATTCCAATGAGGTATCACTCTGTTCGTAAAAAAAATATCTC